AAGCCCCGTTTCCCTCCAGCAGCTGCCTCGCGGGTCGGCCAGGGCTCCCGGGGCTGCAGAGCTGCCAGCCTGGACTCCCAGTGCCCCACCAGGAAAGCACCTGCTTTCCCACGAGCCGCTTCTCCGGCCAACTGCTGCCTCCCCAGCGGAGCGCTCCCAGCTGGGCTCTGATCCCTGCACACCCCGCAGCTCGGCCCCCAGGCTGGGACCGTCTGGCCGAGCTGGGGTGGCCAAGAGCAGCAAAGTCTCTGCCCCTGCCAGCGCCAGCAGCGCCAGGGCCCGCAGCCTCGGAGCCGCCCCCCAGCCGCCCCATGCCACAGCCTTGCCCGGCCCCTCCTACTTCCAGATGGTTGAATCGCGTGTGGCTGGAGCAATTGATCTTCCCATCCGTGCTGAGCCCCGTCAGGTACAGCAGGATGTCGTCCTGGAGCCGGCTGGGGATCGCCACCCGCAGCTCCGCCTGGCTCACTGTGCCCGGGCCCTGGTTGTGCAGCTGCGCAGAGGGAGAAGAGAGAAGGGCTGGGCTGGGCAGGCAGGGGGGCACAGGGCTGGGCCGAGAGGGGCACAGGGCTGGGGGCAGCTCCGGGCCTCTGGCAGGCTGGGTTTGGGCTGGTTCCGTGTTTTGCAGCCCTTTGTACATCGGCCTGACTGCTCAGCTCTGCACGGTGCATGCCCAGGGGTGTGCGCAGCCGGAGTGTGTCGCGGGCGCGTATGTGTCGGTCTGTCTGCCCATGGTGAGAATGCGTGCAGCTGTAGGTCAGCGTTTGAGCATGTGTGCGTGTACAGTGTCTGTACGTGCAGCATGTGTGTTTGCAGTGCGCGCGTGTGTAGCGTTGCAGTATGTGCGTGTGTGCAGCATGTGTGTGTGCAGTGTGTGTGCATGTGCAGCATATACGCACGTGTGTGGCACGTGTGCAGCATGTGTGTGTGCGTGTTGTGGCATGTGCATGTGCAGCGTGTGCGTGTGTAGGGTTTCAGCATGTGCACCTGTGTGTGTAGCATGTGTAGAGTGTGCACATGTGCAGCATGTGTGTGTGTAAGTGTGTGCACATGTGTGTATAACTGTGTGCGTGTGTGGGTGGGTGTAAGCGTGTGCGTGCAGCGTGTGCGTGTTTAAGCATGTGCACGTGTGCAGCGTGTGTAGCTTGTGCAGCATGTGTGCGTGTAAGCGTGTGCCACGTGTGCAGCGTGTGCGCGTAAGCGTGTGCAGCGTGTGCGCCCCATGCCGGGGGCCAGCAGCCTGCTTGCTGTAGTGAGGCTCGGGCCCTGCACCGGGCAGGGTGAGACCCATGAGCTGCTGGGGCAGTTACTGGGAGGAGCAAGGGGGGGTCTGGAAGCCCAGCACTGGTGCCCAACGAGGGCGTGTGCGTGTGGGTACTAGTCAGCGGGGGGGTACCACCACCACGTGAGCAGGCGTGTGTTCCAGTGCGTATGCGTGTGGGGTGCCCAGGTGTGGGGGTGGTGGTGCATGAGGGATGCCCAACGAGGGCGTGTGCGTGTGGGTACTAGTCAGCGGGGGGGTACCACCACCACGTGAGCAGGCGTGTGTTCCAGTGCGTATGCGTGTGGGGTGCCCAGGTGTGGGGGTGGTGGTGCATGAGGGATTGGGGGGCCCCATTGCCTGGCTGGGGCGGCAGGACCGCGGGGCCGTACCTGGTACACGTGCTCCACCCGGGGCCCCTGGTCCTCCACCCGGCGGCTGCCCTCGGCCTGCTCCCAGC